GATTTTTGATAATGAATAAATGCTTTATTTTCATTTTTTTCAATCCATTTACCAAATCGATAACATCTTGCAAGAACTATTTGAGCCATAGGATTAAGTTGATTATTTAAGCACCAATTAATAATATTATCAGGATTTTGTTTCTTATTTACTAGAAATTGATTTAATGAATCCATTACTGAATTTAAATCATAACATTTTAAACTTTCTTCATTGTATCTATTATATAATTCTTTAACAATTTCACTAAAAGAAGTATCATCTTTTAAATGTAATTGGTTAAAACTATTAATTATTTGGGTTATTTCATTTGATGAACTTAAAATTTTTTCTGGTTGTTCTATAGTTGAATTATTTTTTGACATTTTTTTTTAAAAAAAAGAAAAATTATTACGAAAGGATTATTGCTACGTGTATAAAAATTATTCGTAATATTGTGCCATATTTAGATACTTATGTACTACGTTACACGCTAAGCAACAACTATTGCATAGTTTTTGTCGATTGTTAGGTGATTTCTGATTTTTTAAAAACAATTGATATTGTGATATGAAATTATCATACTGGAGTGGTTTTAAGTAATCATAAATCACCTAACAATAAAGTGATTTCTTTTTTAACTGCAATAATTTGTTAAATTTTTAAATTGTTAATAAATCAATTTTACTGAAAAAACGATTTGAATAAGTTAGTACAGTAACCAATAAATGTATTCATTGGATCACCCCAGCCAAATAAGGCTGAGTATTAAATTTTATTAGGAATGCTTTATTGACATAAGCCGTATACATCAGTGCTATCGATGTATAATTAAAATTAGCAATGCGTAGCATCAGCCAGTGGTTTCCCGCCTGCATAAAGCAGACCGGCTATTAATCGGGATTTTTTAGTAGGAGAATTAGCGATGTTTAACATCAGCCGATGGTTTCACACCAGCATAAATCAGGCCGATTGTAGTTCCAAAGGATTTGCATTTACTGCGAAAATGCAGGATTCACTGGGGTGGATAGGATCGGTTGCGAAAACTGGGAAGTGTTCTCATAACGCAGGTGGGTTTCTGTTTCAGTTTCGCTTCTTTTATCCCGATCATGCTTACCTAATTGTGTCTTAAATTCTGAAACAGGCGATACATGAATCATACTCACTTCAATACAATTCTTTGTTAGCATTGTTGCAACCAGGCTTCGAACTTCTTGCCGATCATT